GAAAATTAACGTGTAGAGGATGCACATCTGGGAAGCGGGCGGTCGCGATGCCGCTAATGGGACGTGGCTCCGGAGAACACGTTTGGAGAAGGAGCACTCTGGATGCTAGTTGGTGCCACAAGATCACTTCGATAGATTGTATGAGCGGCGTCAATCGTATCGCGACCGCACGCGTACCATATGCGCGTGACTCAATTTATCTCTCCGTATGGGCTGATACTAGCCACCTTTTGCAGACATTCAATAATTTCGGAGTGGTCTCATTGTCTCTCAACCCCACCTATCCCGATGACGCCGGCACATACACCTGTGTACTGTTCAACGCCAATGGACAGGTAACGAGCAGCTCCCAGGCTCCATTTGAGGGTTTTTTTCAGGGATACCTATATAACCTAAATTCAGGCACAAAGCTCGGCTGAACTGACCACTATCCCCATGCCAACACTCCAGCTGGACACCAAGCACCAGGATAGCTTGCAGATCATCGGATATTTGGACAGCCATCAGGTATGTGCTCAACTTCAGGGACTGGGCCACGGTAACAGGTCAAAATGGCTGATTTTCAGGTACACATCGGTCCTCAAGAAGTTGACCGACCAGAAGAGTTCCAGTCACTGGACAAGCCTAAATTCGTCCGACCCCTGGCAGCTCGTATTGAGTGCATGGAAAATGATCCAGTCCACTTCGAGGCTCGCCTACAACCCGCCAACGACGTCAAAATGACCGTTGAATGGTGAGTTGAAACTTTCCTTGGAACGCTGAACGGCCCTCCGTTGGTATTTCATCAACGTAACATTATCATTGTATCGATCTTTTCCCGAGGTTAGATACTCTTCATTCCCGAAAATGGATAGGGCGTGGCGTACTTCATTTGAACATAGCGTGGGATACGCTTTTTAGTGGGGGATTTTCACTTGGGTGAGCAGTCATCCTACGTTATGCTCTAAACTGGCATAATTAAAATTATTTCAATGCAGGACTATCCCACCAGAAGTGCCACACTAAAATGAAATGCGCGGCCACGCCCCGCCTGTTTCTGTGATATGAGCTCACACAAGTCTTGGTAGACACCGCTATGCTCCACTTGGACGCTTTAAATGAGCAGCCTTATTTTGTAG